AATTTGGTAGTTTCTATTTTTTGGGGGGATGTTTGCAAATGTTGTATAATGGACAAAATGTACTTTGTAATGACAGTACTGTACATGACAATCATCAAAGACACACAGTGGTTTTTAAACAAAAGCTGTTTTGGTTTAATTAATGCATCAACCGTTGAGCAGGTGCACAGACCAAACATGAAGTCAACTGTGCTGAGGTAAATACAAAATAGCCGCAGGCTGGAAACACTATTCAACAAATCATGAGGGGAAAAACAGAAAAACAATGAACACAACCTTTCTGACCGTATTCAGTTTTTTGTTGCTTTTAAAGCAAAACATTTATTTGCAAATTTGTGTACTTTGCAAATGTAAAAAAAAAACTAAAAAAAAAAATAGCCCGTAGCTGATATGTATAGAAAAATGTTGCTATAGCAACACAACAGACTTTCCTTTTTATCTTCGATATTTAAATTTATTTACTAATTTATTTATTTATTTACTTATTTATTTATACAATAATATTCGGAAAGACCAGTTGCACATCCAGCTTTGATTGTTATAGCAACATTTAACTGAAGTTTGTTGAATTTCTGGAGGTACTCTTTCTTTTCACCAATCATTTTTTCGACCAGCGTAGAATTGACAACCATTTTTTTCCAAACTCACATAACTGCAAAGCATGGACAATTTCCAAACACAGCAAGTTTGGCTCATTACAGCAAAAGGACAGATCACCAAAGTTGGAGGTCTTGGTTGTGATTGGAATATTTTTTGGCTTTGAGCTTAAGCAAATTTTAACATGCTTAGCAGATATGTAAAATTTGCTCCTTGACTTTTCTTTGCGTTTGAGGTAAACAAATCTGGTACAGATTAACTTATTTTACACAATATTTATCTCTCAGGAAAAAACAGAAAATTTCTTCAATGGAGTTCACTTTTTTCCCCCTAAATTTTTTAAATAACACAAGACAAGACAAAGTATTTACTTTTTCGTTCACACACTTTTTATTTTATTGTTTTTAAACCTGAGTTTTCCTAAGTAAACAAAACGAAGATATTCATCCCGTAACAAAAAGGTATCTGACAGAATTCTTTTTTTAAAAAGTGAATCCAGTGAAGAAATCCTCTTATTCCTTTTGAGAATTGATTCAACAATCTCAGACAGTGCACAGAAAAGTCGTAAAGCTTTCAGACAACATGACCACCATATACAATTAGTCAGGATTAGCAGAGCATACATATATTGGCACATAGAAAAAACTATGCATAAAGCTCACATATGCTAAACTTTGGCAGCGATTTGCTCTTTCAAAATCGATGATTGAAAATTGGTTTTTCATTAACCAATTGTTACAATTTTCATTTAAAGCCATTTTGGTGTGGACACAGTATGTCCCCAAAAAGTGTCCGTCTTGCTTTTTGTGAAATAACTACAAAACCATAAAGTCAATTTTGATAATGTTTGCTTGTGCAGATACTCCTTATCCTTGGTCTAAATCCCTATGAGTTTCATTTCATTTCAGTCACGCATCACTACACAATTGTCAATTGATCACAGCAACATGTTTGGACACTGTGACCAAGTTCCTTGCCTTATTCAATTTCAGTGCTGTTATGTATTTGTGTTAAATCCTGCATGTTGTGAAAAGGGCTATGGTTGGGATTGGAATCATTTGCCTGGCTATCAGAAATCATGGCAAGACCTCAGTTTAATGCTCAAGGAAAAATGATTCCAATCTCAAACCACATCAGCCTTATTTTCACAACATGCAGGATTTTACCCAGCTTACATAATACAGCACTGAAATTGACTAAGACAAGGGAACTTGGTCAGTGTCCAAAATTGCTGTTGTGATCAATTGACAATTGTGCAGTGATGCATGACTCAGGCATGCAAATGGGAAGTCACAAAAAAAGAGGAAATTCAAATCTTTCCAAGACTTTGTACAGTGTTTTTCTATTTTCAATGGCACACATGGGAAGTAAAAAAAGAGGAAATCAGCTGATTCGAGGAAAAGTTGCATGCCTGATGACTGAATTTAAATGAAACTCATAGGGGTTTAGGCCAAGGATAAGGAGTATTTGCACCATCAAAAATTGTGAAAATTGTCTTCATGGTTTTGTAGTTATTTCAAAAATAGTCAGACGTACATTTTTGGGGGACATACTGTAGTCACTTTACTGTGAATTTAACATTGAAGAAATCATGATCTATCATCACAACCAAGCAAAGACAACACTTGATGATTCTTTAACTCCATTCAACCTAAGCATGGTAGCTGCCGTACACAAGCTTAAACATTTTGTCGATGTTCAATGCGACTCACCTACATCACTTCATGGGCGGAGCTAGGACAAACGAGGGAGGGGATGTACATTGCAAACATTATTTTGCATGTGTTTATATAAAAATTTTAACATCTTGTGCGATGAAAATGAAAAGTAACCCATTCCCTGATTTCGACTTAGATCCGCCCTTGAAATAGACCAGAGATTAACATTGAAAGCAAATAACAATGAAATTGTTAACAGACAAAAAAAAAGAAATACCAGTAACACATTTTCTTATTAGATGGCAGAGCGCCAGTGATGTCCAGTCTTAAATCAAAAAAGCTTTTTAAACAATTATCTTTTGTTGAACTAAAGACTTACTACTTGAGAACCCAAGGTCTTTTGCCAGTTTAAATGTTTTTTTTATCCAAGAATTCTTTTAAAAAATTCTGAGACTTCATCTTTTCAACTGATTTCAATGATTTTCAAGAATTTTTCAATGAGTTTATCATTAACTCAATGACTAAATCACTTTAAAAATTCCATCCTTTTTTTTAACCAACATTTTCAACCTTTTACCCCACTTCAAAATTTAAATTTTTGTTGTGCTTAAAGCTCGACTTCCGTTTCTTTTTCCATGCAAAAAATGGACCAAGACCTCTGAGAAACTCTTATCATTCTTTTTACATTCCGATTTTCGCTTGCCTTCTCGCAGCACAAATATTGGCCATAATTAATCTTTCTCTTTTCATGCAATTTTGTTTTTCAAATCTTTCGCAGGCAGTTTTTTTTTTCATTGGCAATCCTCCTATTTCACAAACACTATTCTGCCAAGTGCCAACTTCCTAGCTCCTAAATGGCTTCTTAAACTCTCCTTTGCGGCATGTCAAGTTTTCAGGCATTCTGTTATAATTCATAAGCAATACCGTACACCATACACCGTAAAATTCATCTCAGTCTGCTGTTTTATATCAAGTTATTTTTTCACGTTTTTTAAAATCGCTTTGAAATAGCTGCAGCGTATATCATTTACTCAGTTTGATTTGGAAACGACATTGAAAGTTGGAGATCTGATAATTTTGATGAAGATTTTTTTTTTACAATTCACTTTTGATAGGTAAGAAGAGCTGGCCATCGCTTGTGGAATACACTCACACACTTTTAAATCTTATTTTTTTAAAAGAGTTAATTTTTTGAATTTTGTGCTTAGTACCAGTGCCTCCCAAAGCCTCGGAGAACACAGTAAATTTCACAAAATGTCTTCCGGTTTTTTTAGGCCCACAGAAACACTTCAAGTATAACAGTCCACTCTCAAAATTTTGAGTCCTATTTGGACAATTCCAAAGCTGAATCTTGTAATATTTTAAAGGAGTTTTTTTTGATATATTGTAGAAAGAGACTTGTTAATTATTAGAAGTCAGAGAAAGAGATTTAGTTTGAAATTCGCTTCTGTGATATCAATTTATGAATGTCTATTCCGAGATGTGCGTTCCAAATTTGACTTTAAAAAAAATTGTAAAGTTTGGCATCAAGTTGATTTTTAACTTTGCAAATCTCAAAAACATGAAAAAAAAAATCATGTTTTTGTTTTACACACATGTCGGGTTCACTAGGTAACATAATTTACCAATAAGTTTCAATACTAATCTGTCAATTCAAAATTTGTTTATAAAAATGGAATGATTTGTTTTCAAAAGATTTTTTTTTACTTTACCTTTGTAATTTGTTACTGTAAAATAATATTCACAACCAACAGCGTTGAGATCCAAAGAACCTGACTACTGTTATTTTATAAGGTATACCAGTCTGGTACCACAGCTCCTCAGTGATGCAACATTTATTTTAAGTTAGAGTTTTTCTTTTCATCTAAGTAAAACTTCCTGCAGGCATTACCTGCAAGCATTCATTCCACGCATGACATTTTTTTAAATTTCACTTTACGTTTCTCAAGCACTTTACAAGTTGAAACCCCTTCTAAATTTCCAAAAAAGGAAAGAAAAAAATGAATGAACTACCGATAAGAAACACAAAGAGGTACACGTAAGTCATTCAAATCCAACATTTTGTCATCTCCATTTACGTTAATACTGCCGACAAAACTTGAAGAAGATCCTTCCACGAGTTCTCACAAATTTATGATTGCTCTTGCAATTTCTTTGAAAACTCTCACAAAAAAAATAACTGCAGTAATTTTCCCCTTAAAACAATTTTGTGGAAGTTTGGTATCTTCATGACATGTACTCTCATACGTTACTGCATGAAAAACATGTGCAGTATAACCGCTAATGCATGTTACACTGTTGGCATGGCAACACACAAAAAATTGGCTTTAAAGATAGCTGAACACAATTTTCTTCTATAAATAATATAATTTTAACTACAAGACCAAATTACAAAACTCCGCTCACGAAAAACACTGCTACAGCAGCAATGGCCAAGTTCGGGCAAGGACCATTAGTCGACTAGTGGTTGATTTGTGACGTACCTTACGCATGCGCACTAATAGCAAAGTGCGAACGTCTCTAGTCGAACGCTGGTCAAAATGTCATTGCAAAACGTCTGGATCCTGGCTCCCTGCTGTACGTTATGAACGCGCGTGGCTATGGTTACCAGCGAAGCAACCAACCCCAGTAGGTTGGTTCCAAATAGTCGACTAGCGTAGTTAACCATCGTCGACTAGACAGAGTTCGGGCAAGCGTTAGTCGACCAATGGTTAACTATAGTCCTTGCGCGAACTTGCCCAATGATACTCAATGCTGATTACCAGGCAAAACACTTTAAGCAATAGTTTTCTTTACAGATTATCAGTTAAAATATCATCCCAACAAAAAAGAAGTGCAATTTCTACGCAATAGCATAGATTTCTACTATTTGCCATTTTACTGTGAATGCTTAATTTTGAAAAGAAAAGAAAATCAACTACTTATTTCATTGCTTGAAGCTTACGAAAAATTAGACAAGAAATAGCAGAAATATTTAGCAGAAACGGTTTGAAACTTTGTTGAAAAAAAAAATCAACAAAACTTATACTTCAAAAGTTGCTTTGAAGTTTTCACACACATATATCGGGGGCTGAATCCCTGAGAATGTGACCCTAGATTTTTCATGTCCGGTGCGTCTCGTGACCTTTGACCTGTCGTGACCTCGCCGGGTGACCCCTCCCCCCCTCACACTGCTAGCTTGGTTGAAAATCCATTGTTCTTGTGGCGGCTAGCATTGCACGGATTTTGGCCCGGAAATTCTGCAAAATAGGGGTGAAAAAAGGAGAAAAAGAGAGGGTTTTAAGAGTTGTTAAAAGACCACAGATATAATAATAATAATAATAATTTGGGAGGCTAATCATCCTTACTCGCAGCTGGTATGCTGAATTGCGAAGGACGCGGCTACAACATGGTCGGGCCACTGGCACGTAAAGGCGCCTATGGCTGCCGGCCACATCGACCCATATATGACCACGGAGCACAGCCTGAGATCAAAAGTGTTTGATTTTTCCGGAGGGAGGAAAACCGGAGGGCCCGGAGAAAAACCCACGTGGCACAGGAGAGAACCAACGCACAACTCTACTCAGGATTCAAACCGTGGTCACCTTGGTGAGAGGCGAGCGCTTTACACACAAGCCACCCATGCCATCCTTGATACTTAAGTTATCACACGAGCACGACTGGAACACGGGATAATGCAGTGTGTCTGTGTCCCACATACCACAAGACCGAAGGCACTACATTTTCCGTGTTTTACGAGTGCAAGTGGGGTAACGACCTTATCTTCAAGCAAACTTGACGGACAGTTAGTTGAGATGGAACACCCACCGTCCGTTGTTCCATGGTTTTCGCATGACACGTGCGTGCAGCATACAGGAATGGTACGGGCATCTTAGAATAGCGCGATACATGGAGTGCCTTACAGACTGTGCTACATGGGATAATGTAGCACAGTTTGTTGCCATGGATCAACCAATCAGCATCTAGGATTCAAGTTTGCTTGAAGATAATCGGGCAAATTGCACTTACATCTTGAAAGCTCGTGTCTGTTGTTGTTGCTGCCGTCGTGGGCACTGTTGTTGCCATTGTCGACGTTGTTGTTGTTGCTGCCGTCGTCGAGGTTGTTGTTGTGGATCCGTTTTCCTCTGACGTCTCCATTGGAGGCTCTTTGTACGAGTCCGAAACACTGCCCCAAAAACGAAAGAAGGGAAATATTAACATTATCAATATTCATCTTCTCATGAAAACTGAAATGAAAAGCATAACAATTTACCAGCAAACATCACATCTATTAAGATTTCCTTGTGTGGCACACTTTCTTTTCTTTTCATGAGACTTGGAATTGTACATTATTGACTTCCTTAATCTTTAGTTTTACTTGCAATAGTCTATGTAATAGGCCTTGGTAAAAGCCACGTTCTATTGTCACGTCTAAACATGGATAAAAATAACCCCGCTAGATACATCAACAAAGGCGTTGGTCACGCGCTACTATGTTACGCAACACGTACGCGCGCGGCTCGCATTACAAAAAACTGCATTCGAATTGACCAATCAAACCATTAGTCCTGATTTGGGAATGAAATGATGTCACGATTTAGTAAAGTCGACTCCGATTGGCTGAGGCGCGAGATCGCATGAATCTGCATGTCTAGACATATCAGACGTTATACAGGAGACTTGGCACCGTGGATAACGGATGATACTCAGACTAACACCCTGCCTGAAGTAACAAACGTTTTGAAAATTTAGGAATTTTCTTTAAAGTTAGACTCAACCATTTGTTTGTAGTTGTGATGCGAAAAAAAGCTGCAATATTGAAGTTTCTGTACCGCATATAAAGCAGTAATTGAATTCTACTCAGAACTGGATTATCTCCAAATAAAGTAATGCGTAAGCAACTTGAGATTATATTTTGAAATAACTCTTACATGGAAAAACAAGATTAAAAGCTTCTCTCTCTCTCTAAAAAAAAACCCTTTCTTTTGCCATACATTTTTACCAAGTGAGAGGTCATCACAGATTGGAAAGTGGATTTTATAAAAAAAGGGGTAAACCTGTGTTAACAGGAACGGAGTGCCCATCTCTCTTTCTTTAGCGATTGGGCCAGACTCGTATGCTGCTGTGGGGGGATTGCCACACCTCCTCCACAGCGAGTCTGTTACCTTCCCAGCATTGAATAATGCCGGCACCCATTTAACACCTGGGTTGAGAGGAGTAATTGAGGTAAATCGCCTTACTGAAGGGCACAACACGCATGGCCATGGCGGGGCTCGAACCCACAACCTCACGATCATGAATCCTGTGCTCCACCGCTAGACCACACGTGCCCACTAGGTGTTCTTGAAAAAAACTGTACCTCAACGCAAGAAACTGGTCAATTTTTTCACACTATTTTTATCTTGAAAGTGAAGTTCAGCCATAAGAGTGTTATACCTATCATCCGGTGTTGGCTCTGATGAGAGAGGGGGTGTGGCACTAGGAGATGGAGGGGCAGCATCAAGGACCATCGGTTCCACTGACGCGGCTGGAAAATTGCGTCCATTTTCAGGGGATAATGACCTGACGGAAATTAAATTGTGAAATCAAAACAACCACTGTTATTTCTTCTGTAACATGTTGACTTTGATTATGGAGTAAGCAGCCTTTTTTAGATGGAATAAAAGCGATGTGTTATGATGACATCTTCAGGCAAACTTGAATCCTCGATCCTGATTGGTCAATCCATAGCAACAACAGTGTGATATTATCCAATATACCATGGTGCACACCACACTCCGCGTATCGCGCTATTCTAAGATGCCCACGCCATTCCTCCTACACGCACGTGTAATAGGATAACAGCTGAAAAGTTTATACAGGGGCGTGCTCGTTTCAAGATTTTCTGTACGTCAAAGTTTGCTTGAAGATCATTTTGTTACCCCACTTGCGACCATGGAATATGGAATTTTAGTGCGTCTGCATCCCACATAGGCACGTTGGATGGACACGCACTACTTTAAAGCGTGTTCCACTCGTGCTCGTGGGATACTAAAAAATACCACATTGAGATACATCAGCCGACTGTGTCCAGTGGGTGCCATTTTGGTCTGCTGTATTTTTTTTAATGCAATTTTCAGTAACGATGGTATACAGGAGTAACAATAAAATGCACCATAGGAGAGTAAGGTTGGATATAAAGTGGAATGGAGTTTCAATTCCAGCCAGATTCCACAGATTTTCCCAACAACTTATTTCAAGGAATCCTCTATGTCATTACAAAAACAAAACATGATCACTGCTATGGTAGAAAGAAGCATTTGTATTTGTGTGAGTATGTAAACACCGGCAATCGTGGACGTAGGACAAAAGAATGTGGGTGCAAACAATACGTCCACGATTGACCGAACGTCCACGATCTCAAATCGTGTACAAAACCAATGAGAGCTGTCGCTAAAAAGTTACAAACAAAGGAAAGAGGATTAGAAACAATGGGGCGTCCACAATTGCCGGCATTTACACACGAGTTTGTCTTACATTCACTATGTGGACTTGCGAACAAAAGATGTCCACATAATGCAGGTTTTGTGGACTAAGCCGTGTCCATATAACGTTTTGCCCTTTCTGGAAAACAGGTTTAGAGGCATTTTTGGGTTAGGTTTATCCGTAGCAGAATGAAGAGAAACACTATAGGGAATCATAGAAAAAAAATTGGGTTGAAAGAGTTTTCACAGTTTACCGTAATTTCCTGCGGATAAGACGCGTCTTATCTGACTTTCTAGACCACAAAAACATCGCTGCGCCTTATCTACAGGTGCGCCTTATCTGGTGTCGCTTGAGTTCAAAGTGACGGTCTTTGTGTGAAGAATTCTTTCAATGCCGCAATCAATAATGCGGTCAACCGAGGCTCAACTCTCCAGACATTGTGACCGTATTTTCATTCCAACAATGCCGCGATGTGTTGATCCCCCATGATCGTGCTTTCCTTCCAACAATGCCGCAATGCGTTGATCCCCCTTAGTGATCGTGCTTTCGTTCCAACAATGCCGTCATACAAACGTTTTTCTTTGTGGCCGTTTTTTCATTCCGAAAATGCTGCAATCAGAATTACTTAAACGTTTGGAAATCGCATTCACTCAAGTTCTATTGTGTGAACGTTGAGGGTGTTTATTGTACAGGATATCTTCGAAGTCTGCAAGCCTGAAGATCAAGATGAAAACAGTGCGAGTCGGTAAAAGCGGCTCAGGAAAGCGTACTTCCGGCCCGAGCGCCATGTTATGCATACAGAGACCGCGCGAACCTCAGTGCACGTGTGGCCGAACATTTTGTAGAAACACGCTGCGGTGTATCATCAAGTCCGAGCGGTAAAATCTCGTTAAAATATATATTTCAACGGACAAATACATACACAGTGAAGAGAGATCACGTTCTGAGAATTAATTTGCGGAAATTCTCTTTCTCCACCGATGTATGTTATTTTCTACGATCCAAATTCGTCCTGATACGCTACTGTAGTCATGCACGGAACATCATGGTCCGGTACCGTATGTAGGCCGTAGTCACTGGTTCCTGGCCCACATCATAGCTTCGATTCTGTAAGCATGCGATGGGAACCAACGAATACTGATGGCACTGCTGCCGCACGGAATATCGTACAGCGGCATGGCTTCGACGACGTGCATCACAAATGCGTCAGAATTACAGGCCTTTTCGTCAAGATTTAGCGTGTCAAGATGAAATAATATCGTGTAAACGATTATGTTGTGCATGCAAATGGCGTGTGTAATATTACTGTGCGTATCGGCGGCTGAAAATGTGATCGGCAATTTGTTTTCTATGTACGGTGAGTAATTATACTGACACTGTGACAGCTCGGTTACTTCTCCCACGCGGTCTGGGTAAATTTTCCCGTGTCGAAAGTCCAAGTGCGGACAGTGGTCACATTTGACCATTTCTCATTTTACTATCGTCTCGGTAAAACCTTCCAAAAAAAAAGTCCAGTGCGGACACGGCTTAATTCATCCTCCGAATAGTGTGATCGTTCTAAGGCAACACAATGGCCCCTTTGTGGCGATGTACCGACACCGGGTGACGCCTGGTGTTCTTCTGTGTGCGGTCAAACATGCGTCTTATGCGGCGGTGCGCCTTATCTGTTGGCGTTTGAATTTTTTTTGGGTGATTTTAGGGACCTGCGCCTTATCCGCCGCGCGCCTTATCCGCAGGAAATTACGGTAAGTAAAGTTATTTTTTGTACCGAGTTTTCTTAACTACACGAAAACAAAGGAATGTCCACATAGCGTATGTAAAACAAACGTGTGTGCGTGTGTGTGTGTGTGTAATAGTGTTAAGTATATTCAATAGTGGCTTTCAATCGATCAAAGCATTTATGCCACAATGAAACATTAAATAAATTTTACAAATAAATTTGTCGCCAAGAGCGTACTGAAAACTTACCGTGATTTTATTGGAAGACTAGAGGCCTCAAGACTGCTGGATCGCCGCGGCAACGATTCTAAAGTTCGAACAGGTCGGACGGGGGAATTTGACCGTGACCTCGACCTCCTCCATCGCTTTGGTGACCTGAAACATCAATATATACAAAGGTCTATTGATCAGCATCTACCTCATAAAATGTAGAATGTCATTACAAGTACAAAATACCCCTCATCACTGGTACACACATTTTTATCAATGACAATCAACTGCTTTGTTGTGGTGGAAAGTTACTGAGCACAATACTGAGATCCTTGACCAGAAATCAAATGTGACGTAAAATAAATATTGTGGAAGTCAGATTTGAGACTTTTATGGATAAGATGGACTTCAATAACTAAAAATCGTTTTGAGAGTAGTCTCCAAAAGCAAGGAACTAATTCTACAAACACCATGATACTTCTACAATTTGAACCAATAATGAGAAAAGGAAGCAAGAACCAGGAACTATGAACCAAGGAACCAAGAACCTCAATGGTACAGCTCGCTAGAGCTCTCACCTGTTCCTGCCCATTTGGTATGACCTGGGCGGGGTCACAGGTCGTGACCTGACCCCCGGCGAGGTGGATCGGGCTCGGGGCTTGTTGTCCCCTTCCCGTGAGGATGATGCGGAGAAACGGTTGGCGTCTTGGTAGGACCGGGGAGGCCGCTTGTGCTTCTTGTCTGGGGAGGGGCTGCGACGGCTGCTTCCACTGCTGCTACCGTGTCGGTGCTTGTGCTTCTTGTGTTTCTTGCGGTCGGTTCTCGAGTCCGTCTTTCGCTGCTTCTCGGGCGGACTGAGCGATTCTGTTGTTGGAATGTCGTTTGGCTCTGTAAGGAGGAAATGACACAAATATTATTGAACGAAATTTTAGTCCAAGATTACCAGAGGGAAAGTATAAATCAAAAACATTACCAGAGTAACTTCAGTTCGGCCACTGTTTTAGGCTTTATATTCTAAGATCCTTCTTCAAAATGCAATGAGACATGACCTACTTAGAATACGGCTTGATGTTTCGGTGGAATTTGAGCTATCCATTCATTTATAAGATTGTCAATCTGCTGGAACTTTGCGAGAGTCACTCGTTCACCGCACACAGTATTTATGCCGCCATGTTTGTTGGCATTACCCTGAGAAAGGTCTATAGTCAACTAGAAATCATAAACTGAAAATGTCTTCAATCAGAGCTGGTAAAACAAAACAGGGTGGTGTTCAGATGCAGATTTCTCAAAATTTGGGAGTCATGTTGAAATTGTTTTTTAAAGATTTTCCTAAACTTCAAGATCTTGGTGGTATATGATTAAAACGGCGTTGAACATAATGCCTAAATTAAGAAATGGCAGCCATTTACAGAAAAACGGCCAAAAACCTTTTTTTGCGCGCATTAGACATGGCCATCGTTAATGCAGTTCTTTGTGCACGCAGTGCTATTGTTTTTACCATATCTCACAGACTTGCATGTGGACAAACTAGTTTTGACCATTTTTCTGTAAAAGGCCGCCATTTCTTAATTAAAGGGAAAATACAACATTTGCAAACATCAAAAAATAAAACTACCAAATCATTTTGAAATACCTTGCTGGACTGTTAGTGAATGACAGTGTAAAGCATCCTGTAAAATCATGGCACCTGGTATACTGTCATTTTCAAGAAAAGTGGTAATTTTGTATCAATTTCCAACGCTGGTCGGCCGACCAGCGTTGGAAAAAACTAGCTTTTTTTCAAATTCTGGCCCCAATTGACCATCGCACTTGTTTGCAATCGATTACACACCTATGAACGGGTACAAGCCAGCTAGACTGGTTCCCTGACCTTACAATTCCCCAATGTATGTAAACTGCTCTGTTTCTTCTTATATGGAGTCAGGGAACCAGACTACAGGAAAATGATTGTTTTTCTTGGTTTTTATAGCATTTTCGAACCCAAAACCTCAAAAAAGTCAGTGTAACTATATTTGCTATATATTTCCAACCCCCAATTCCATCCATTTCTGAAAATTACAGCAAAAGCAAATGATGTATATTCCCTTTAAGGCTCTATTTTCAACGCCCTTTTCACCAAATACCACCAAGATCTTGTAGTTTAGGAATATCAGAAAACAAGTTTAACATGTCTCCCCAATTTTGAGAAATCTGCATTTGAAAAAGTGTAAAAACATCTAGAGCTGCTAATGTAACGTTGCTAATCAAATTCACACTGGGAACCAGTCGCATGCAACTTAAAGTGCATGACTTTTTGACTGGTAACCCGTTTCTGTTAAGCAAATATATTCTGTGCTTAGTGGATTTCTGCGCCTGGCAGCTCCATAGAATTGGGCACTCAAACTTTCACTATGTTCTTGCTGCTCTCTGATTTTTTTTCTTTCTTTTTTCCAATTAATGATCGGACAAGACTACCAGTTCCCTGGTCCCCCGTCCTTACCTGGTTCCATGTTGTCCAGCTCGGCGGCTGCCCCAGCCTGGGGGCGGTCCTTGATCATGCTCAGGAACACCGCCGCTTTCTTGCGCCGTTCCATCTGCTGGATGCGCTCCTTGGACGCTGACGCCATTTTCTCTCGGGCTGCAGAAGCCAGGCGGTCTTCGAGTCGCAACTTGGCTGCAAAGATTAGCAAAGAAAAATGAGACGATAATTCTTCCTATAACTTGGAGGTTGTATTTATAAGATTTGTCTTTGACAGTATCTTCAATTGTGTGAATTTGTAACCACTTTCTTTCAGTTTTCCAGGGAAGGGGCGATTTGTCATATTCTCTGTATTGTTTTTCTTGAAAAATCTTGGCTGAATAAATAATAATAATAATAATTAAGAGAAGTGTTGCATGATGATGTTGCGAACACTGGTCAGTCAAATCCTACCTCTGAATCGGCAGTCAACTTCCAAATTACATTTTATTAATTGAACATTGGGATAGAGTTCCCAATTATATATTTTTTTGATAATTTGAATAAATCAAATTATATATTCTTCTTGAGGTAAAATACATGTACATATTGTGAGCATTTTAAGCCTCCTGCTTTTCAAACAGTCAAAGACAGTCAAAATTCACTTCCACTTCCCCTGCTATACTTTTTACAAAGGCTAGTCACCAGCAGTCAGAACATATGTCATGCAAGCACTGTGACTAGTCAAACTGGTCAACAGGCAAAGCAGGCAAGTTATGCTCACAGCTGTTTTATCACCCACCCGGAGTCAAAGCATAGCTGTATCAAGTTACTTTAAACAGTCCCAGCCAGTCAATCCTGCTTTATCATGCTTATGTAGGCTGGGAATTCTTCACTGTTGAAAACAGTCCCTTGATTGATTTTGACTGAAAGGACTAGTAGGCACAGAATGTATGCTTCCATAGGAGGGTTAATCAAAGAAATCTACGTTCTGAAGCTCTAAAATACCGTATAAAACTAATGAAACTTTACCATGAATTGTTTACATTAAATGAATAGATTTTACCAGACAAAATCTAGCAACAATTCAAATTATATAAATCTCACTCTCAAATTTTAGGCGAAGTTTGCATTTGACTTACCTTGCTTCATTTGCCATTCCTCCTCTGTAATTCCCCGTCCCCGGTCATACGCCCCCCTCAGCTGCGACCCGTCCCGCTCCGTGTATGGATCCGGGTACTCTGAGTATTCCAGGACAGGTGGTTCCCCGTAAGCTGGTTCCCGGTAGGCCGGTTCCCGATATGTGCCCTCCTGATAGGGCCCCTCGTAAGGAGGCAACTCAGTCCTCTCGACAAACGGCCGACCCCTGAACGCGGGGTTGAAGGGCGGTTGGCCAGGGTAGTTATCACCCCATGACCTCTGACCCTCGAGGTCGTCACCCCTGACCTCTCTGGTCAGGCTCTCTGGCGGGGGTAATCTCAAAGGCGGCCTTTCTTCTTCCTCTTCGGAGTCGCTGCTCTCGACTGGGAGGGCGCTTTTCCTCTCCAGGGGACGCTCTTCTTTGGGCGCCTTTGCTTTGATGGAGAAACTCACCGAAACTAAAGCAGAATTTAAACAGGACGGAAATGGTTCAATGCAAGTGTTTTATGAATGAAATTATCTAATATTTCAATATTGCTTGTGACAGTAAGCCAGTTGGGTATCTCAATGAAGTAGTCCAGGTCAAAGGTCATTCGGGATAAAATCGCTGATGCGATGTTACGCGAACTCCCATTCTGCTTGTAATTAACATGTGAGTGTCGTGCACCCGTCTCCCGACGGATTCATGCGCCTTCGATGAGCGTTTGATTATCCCGAATGACCCGTGACCTATATCATTGTGCACATGCGCAGTTAAATTACCGAACTGACTTATTAACTTGAATTTTGGAACAGGTTTTTGGAATAAAGGAGAATGTGCCTGACAAACCAAGCCTCTGTACAATGTTTTCACAAGCACTGATGAAGAGAAAAGAAGTGAAAGTCAGTTGAACAGTTGAAAATCTGCAACCTGCATTTTACAGGAACATGTACACCCCGTTGCTCCACACAAGACTTCAATGGGTTGTTGCATTGGGCAAGTCAAAAGGAGCAGCATTGTTCTGAGACAATTGGCAGGCAAGCAGAATGAAGAATTTAGACCTAACTTCATGTAATTTATTTACCATCCTTTTTTCTTACATTGTCCAATTTGCCTTTTAGCTAACAAAATGAAACAAGAGGATTTCGCACATATATTACCAAAGTAGAATGCTAATCTCCGACAATGAATCTCTGCTACTTCAACTCAACAGCATGAAGGTCTGAACATAAATTGTTACATCTCATAACAGTGCCCTCTTGAAAAAGCCCCCCTCCCCCCCCCCCCCCCACTTTAGAACTTGTGTTCACAGTTTTTCCCCTGTATATGTACACTGCCGTACTAAACGTTCACTTTGTTGGTAGCACTGCAACACCTCCAAAATACGAAACAAAACAAGTGGCTCATGAGTAATTCGGCATCTTCCCCACCCATACCCTCCCCCACCCCCCTACCTTTCTTGGTCTTCTCCTCCTGTCTATCCTCCTCCTCCTCCTCCGCCTTGCCTCCCATCTCGCCGATGAACATCTTCTTCTTCTGCATGTAGTATGTGTTGTACTTGTGCCAGGGCAGGAGAAAATCAAAGCGCGGGTCGGACTTGCTGCGCACGCTGGCTTCAAAGTCAGTGCCGTTCTTGGCCACGAATTTGGCCAGTTTATCGATGACGGGCTGGATGTCCGGCGGTGGCGGAATGACCCGTGGAACATCAGCCTCACTATTTTTTTTTAATGCAAAGAAATCTATAAATCAACTGAATATAGTTAGGCCCAAGTCACGCATTCCAATTGGAGCTACAAATATCCACGATTTACCAAGAATCTATCAATTATGATGAACCATCGAGATTCGTGGAGAAATCGACTTTCTAAGAATGCACTACCGTTTCAGGGCGGATAGCCACGGCTGTCCTAAGGTTTCTCTACGAATACAAAACGGTTTGTCAAGAATATGGACGGACTGTTGAAAAATATCGATGGTATTACTAAGAATAATGATGTTAACGCCACGGTTGTCTGCGATTGGGCCACGGATGACCAAGGTTCTCCTACGAATAAAGCATACATATTCATATTACAACCTTAGCAGAACCCTAGCATATCCGGGAATATCCGTAGGACATTCGTAACAAATCTGTAGAGATTTCTACCATGAATGAGCTACCAGTCTCAAAGAATATGTAAGATTAGAAATGAATAACACTACGAATCAGTACGGTTGTCCTACGGATGTCCCACGGTTGCACTATGGATTGATTTTCATGACGATTCACCACGGAGGTTTTGAACGGTTTAAAACTTCCGTAGCCCCGCCACGAATACCCAAGGAAGATGACGGATAACCACGGAGGTAATAAGGATGAATACGTAATTCCCACGGTTTATCACGAACTTTAAACCGTGGATATCCGTAGCTCCAAACCGTGAATGTGTGACTGGGGCTTCATCAAGATCCGGTAATGGCTATGAAACTACATCAAAAGAAGACTTTTTCTTCGTCATTGGACTTATTTTTTGGAGGGTTAAGGAGAATTGTATTCTCTCTCCCGATACCCCCAAACCATCATTTCCACCTCTGCCTAGTACTATCTCAGTTTGCCAGAACGCCTTACATTTGTGAACAAACCAAGGTTCTTACACCGACCGTTGGACCCTTACCTGATGTCGGCAGACGGGGGCACTGACGGCGATTCTTGGTGAGGTAGAACGTTGGGATCCAGACCCAGGGGCGCGGCATGGCTGTGGGCCGGAGGAAGGGTAGGGTGGGGGTTGGCCATGACGTAGGCGGGGTCGACCCCTGAGAAATGGGGCGGTGGCACTGTCGGTAGTGATAAGGCAGCCCCTGAATTCAAAAAGAAATTATGGAATGAAATGTGAACAAAGCATCATAAAATCTACAGTAAACCATCATTCATTATGGTCAAAATATAAGCTACATTTTGTAAGAGAAACATGTAGGATTGTTTACAAGTAAATGTAGTTGATACTTTCACTCTTTTCGTTATCTACAGCGCGTCTCAAAATACCAGCAACATTTTTTGCGAGGCTCTAGCGTCGTCGCGGAAACACGTTCCGCCATTATTTCTATATCATTTTAAAGCTTGGAATCTCAACTTTATCCCGGTTAAGTATTGCTTTGATTTTCAAAAGGGTTTTGAACTGATTCGTGTTCAAATAAAGGCATGTCAAAAACAAACTAAACCAATTTCAAGGAAAATTAATCATGCACATGTTTTTTGAATGTGGAAATGGTTCATCATGTGACGATCTCATTGCCTTTTACTTTCTGTGTTTCCTATTCTTTCACCTACACTACACCTTAAATAAATTCACAATATTGTTCTTCATTTCAAGTTCAATTTTGAAATTCATGTGCAAGAATGCACCTATTCAAAAAGCGCGCTCAAGGAGCTAGAGCTTCGCAAAAAAAAGGTTACGAGTATTTTGGGACGTACTGTAAGTCAGAAGATTCATACTCTGGCAACTGTGGGCAGGACATGCACACATGTACATTCTGGAGTCTATTTCTGTGAGCGTGGGGCGTGGATGTACATACACTCTTGTTTTACTATACTCCTGAGGACAATGCTTGTGTTTCCCTTTGTCCCTGTAATATAACACTCTTCCATAGACTAAGCACACAAACTTACTACAGAGGACCGTTTCCAACAAAAGACCCAACTCCCAAGGACTGAAAGGATCTGTTGTCTCCCTTTGTGTGTCGGTCCTCAGGGGGTTATGTAGACCACGTACACATGTACATGCGCATAATGGTAATTCTATAAATTTCGGGTCCAAAGTGTGACCTTTTTTTCACAGTGGTGCTGACTAATGTTATCCCCCACATTACAACTGTCAATGTTAAAGCTCTAGTCCATCATTTGCAGCCATCCGAAAAGTAACTGGCGTAATTACTGTTGAAAAACAAACTTGGTTGAAAGATAGTAAGGGAACTAAACTCCCTGTGAAATTATTCTTTCTGGGAAGCTGTCATTTTGAAGTAATCAACGAAAGAAGGCATTTCCAACGGTGATTCTTAAGAAGCACCGTAGGAAAATTTAAATTAGTAGTTCGTTTTGTTATTCAGCGCAGCGCGCACAAGTATTGGAACGACGCACACGCGCGCGCAGTTGTTATAATTCGTCAGATCAGTGCGCGACGCCGCGTATAGCTGCAATTACAAAACAATTCAAAACATGATTCAGTAACTTTTGATTTGAAATTGAGATCTTAGAATGCTGTTTTTCTCGGAATGTACAGCTGAAGCTTAGCTGAAACTTCATCAGGTTAGTTGCTCAGTATCCTTTATTAGATTTTGAACACTTTTGTTGCTTCAAACGAACAAAATGCACTAATTACAAATGATGGACTATAGCTTTAACTGTATAATCTTAAACAGTTGACTTACCAGAGGGAGGAGGTGGAGGAGGAGGTTGGAACATTGGGTAGACGTTAGGCTGGTCGTAATACCCAGAAGGCCCCATGAGTGGGGGGTCCACAGCCTGGGGCAAGAAGTTGGGGTCGTGGTACCCCATGATGGGCGGCGGCTTACTGAAATCCATCGGGGGATGATAGGACGAGGCGGGGGGCATGGAAGTAGATGTTTGAATGGTGGTTGTCTGAACGGATGGACAAAAATACCACAAAAGAAAATTTGAAGGAAAAAAACCTTAATTGTTTTTAGCACCTTAATTTTCTCTTCTCGTGAAGGTTTTTGGAATTTGTCCTCTCACAGATACATGTAGATGTAAATGTACTAATGTCACCTCGTTCCCAGGTTGTCAAGCAGTACGCACACACCACTACCTGCTCTCTTACCCTGGTAATGGATCATTTGCATATTCCACATTGTTTGGATACGTACTGTATGCAAATTAAAGAGACATTCACCCATTTGTTGAACACTGGTGGTTTGTAAATATCAAAACTATGGAACATATGTACTGCAGAGTCACTGTCCAATCAGAGTATAGGAGATCCCATCCCTTGGCCTACTATTGGAAAGGAGGTTGGAAATAAAGTAGGCCCTGGGGACGAGGTTAGTAGGCCCTGGGGATGAGGTTGGTACTTCTTTGGCCGCGATATGGTGCCCTTGAAAGCAATAATCCATGGGGTTTATTTTTAATGGCACACATGGGAAGTAAAAAAAGAGGAAATCAGCTGATCCGAGGAAAAGTTGCATGCGTGCCACTAAGACTGGACTACCTACCCCTGCCTGCATGGGTGTGGGCCTGGGCCTAGACTGGCCCAGTAGGCTGGGATGTAAGTACCCGCTGTTATCATTATCATCTCTGATTCCATTAAGACTGGACTACCTACCCCTGCCTGCATGGGTGTGGGTCTGGGCCTAGACTGACCCAGTAGGCTAGGATGTAAGTACCCGCTGTTATCATTATCATCTCTGATTCCATTAAGACTGGACTACCTACCCCTGCCTGCATGGGTGTGGGTCTGGGCCTAGACTGGCCCAGTAGGCTAGGATGTAAGTACCCGCTGTTATCATTATCATCTCTGATTCCATTAAGACTGGACTACCTACCCCTGCCTGCATGGGTGTGGGTCTGGGCCTAGACTGGCCCAGTAGGCTGGGATGTAAGTACCCGCTGTTATCATTATCATCGTCATCGTCATCATCATCGCCACTGCTGCTGGCATTGCTGTGCTTCCTTACCCTGTTGTTCCCACCTGCAAACAAAACCCAAAACAAAAACTGATTAAATTGAAGATAGCTATCAATGAACCTCACAACAACACAAAGTGAAAACAAGACAGACTTTTGGTTGGCTACTCAAGCTTGACCCTAGACTTGAGGACAAGTCATTAGACAGTCGTGGGCACCCCCAATATTCACCAGCACGGCGCTGTGTATCGTGCTTATCATTTTGCTGGCCTTGACATGAAATTGGTATCAACCTACACGCATATTGGGGCGGAGGACGCACAAAGCGTCCCCGCAAGTTAGTGTCATACTGCACGTATACCCTGCAGGACGATATGCTGTACATGTATTTGTCCAAGCCAGTATGCTGGTGCGCGGTGGGCGAACTACACTGCCAATTACTGAGTCTCTAGAACTTGACCCAACATTTTCATGGCAGTTTAGGAAGTCTGGGACACTATTGATACTCAGTGATTCAGTCAGTGTGACAGTCACTCAATCAATCAGTCCAAGGAAATAGTCTGGCCTTTCGGTTTCAGCAAAAATACAAGTGCATTTTCGATAGAAATATCAACAGATTTCAAAAACTATGTTTTCTGTTTTGGGCGTCATGGTTGCATCGCGTCATGGTTGCATGATTGCTCCCTTCTACGCTCACTGGCTAAAATGTCTGAATTACTTGGCTATGACTAGAAATTACACACATGCCTATGGGAAGCAGCCGCAGCCACTTCCCATAGGAAGCAGCCGCAGCCACTTCCCATAGGAAGCAGCCGCAGCCACTTCCCACAGGAAGCAGCCGCAGCCACTTCCCATAGTCTTGCGTGTTATTGCGAGCCGTAGCCATATAATTTGGCTGCAGCTCAAGTCGGCTTACCCTGTTTCTTATGGTTCTCATCTTCGTCGTCTTCCGGCACTCCTTTGTACTTGCCGCTCTTGATGCACTTGAGGAGGTGCTTGTAGTAAGGGTTGAGGTAGTGGTCAAATTGGAGGAAGTCAAACTGGGGATTGTTGGCCTGTTTCGTCTTGAGGATGATCTCCATCTGGGAGCCCTGGCTCATGATGAACATGGCCGTCTTCTCCATGAACTTGTGGGTCTTTTTGGTCCCCGGCTGAATGAGAATGGGATGGGTTTAGAAAATTAATGATAGCAAAGTCTCGACAGGCCATCATGCAAGAACTATAGTTGCGTCCTCTAAAGTGGCACACGCCAACATTTCCCCCAAGTTTTCTCATGCATTGTTGCCAAACCTCTTTGTTGACAAGCTTCAAATTCATATAGATATTAGTACTACATGTATTACTTTAATAATGCTTGCTGATAATCCCTTGTGAATAATTTTGAGAGTCATGAAATTTTGTTCGAAATTCAACATCTAATGGCATCCAGAAATTTGGCAGGGAGCAGGGAGTGTTCCCTAACGTGGCGCACTTGAACAAGTCTAAAAAAATTCCAAAAATGAACATTTAAGAATTCCTTTACAGATGACAAATTTTGATAAACCAGTATATCTCCACTAACATATTCAACTAAATGTTTGTCAGATAATTATTTTCATATTTTTTTGAGCGCATTAAAAAAAAAGTTTCGCTTTGCACTTCAAAATAAAATAGACAAATGGCGCCAAACACGTAATACCCAGATCTTCATTTTCACAAAGAGGATTTCACAAACACGGAGATCCGATATAACATTTGACAATCCAGCTGTTCTTTTCACTGTGCAATCCAAACTCCAAATGTTATCACCAACTTAAGATTTTGTTTATCTGCTTCCACAATTGAGTGAGTGACTTAACACAATTTCTATAATCTCTGTGTTTAGGCCCTATGTTTTATCAAACATGCTATGGGTGTTTACCAGTTGCCAATGTGTTACAGTGGGGAAGTACCGAGGACAAGTGCAACCTTTCAAAACTCCATCCGTTACCAGCCATCCGTTGACAGTGACCAAGTACAGCTACTTTTCACAACACTTTAAAAACTCACGGCAACCAGAAATGTTTTGTATCATCCAAAATACCTGTAAGTTTATCAGTGAATGACAATAACATGAAATGTCAAATTTTCAATGGTTTCGATCAACAAAACACCCCTCTATCTATCTATACAATGGCAAGGCCCTCTGGTAAACAACTCCTATTATTATGGAGATTGATGCACGCGTCGCGCGTACTGTGTGATGTGGCGCACAACGCAGATGTACCGGTGTAGTGTGAATTTAGGACTATGAAATACTGGTATCATTGCGCATGCCTACATTGTACGTGAGTATTGTGAACGTTCAACCAATAAAAAACGGTGCTGGCACCAGATTTCATAGGAGTCAAATTTCATGTGACACTGGAAAAGTGTTTAAGACCAGCCAGCCATGTCTTTATCAACCGTTTAAAACCGGCCACGTGACGGGCTCTCGACAAATAGGAATGGGTAAACTGTCTTAGGTATTTATAAATTTGGATTTATACTTTTACAGATTTATTTATTGATTTGTTTGTTTGTCTGATTGTCTTTCTTTTGAGTTGTTTACCATTTCCACTCCTATGGGAATGTCCATCTCTGCGGGAGCAATAAACGGTTCCTCCAGCTCAGCCTCAGGTGATTGACACTCGGGCGGAGTCTTGGCAAATTGCTCCTCTGGATTGGATGATAAGACAAAAGTAATTAACATAAATGAATAATAAGTGCGCTCGTTTGCATGCAGATGTAAATGAAAATTTTTCTGGTTTTTTGTATTTTAACAAATTATATAGGAATGATGTAATCTACATAAATGAATAATAAGTGTGCTCGTAAGCATGCAGATAAAACAAAAAGTTGTTCTGGTTTTTGTATTTAACAAATTATAAAGGAATGAAAACATTCACTGAAAATATATGCAAGAAGAAAGAAAATTATTGACAAATATATTAAATTACAACTGTACAAAGTAAATTTACAATAAAACCATCAGAGGGCGTGCACTTTGTTGAACAAACTTTCCTAACACCACACTTGACCTTGATGCAAGGTGAATGCTAAAACTAGACAATCTTGTTAAGTCATACTGATATTGCAAAATAAGTTTATTTTGTGATAGTGGGTTTACACGCACGCGCGATAAGTACCACCTGTAAATGTTTGAATGTATTTAAGATAAAATACGGTTCTGTATTTAGTGCAAATTGAAGGTAATCAGCCTGTATTGTGTTAATAATGTGTGAAGTCATAAATTTTATTTTTGAATTGTAAAAAGATCAAATTAATTTTCATTCCTGTTCATTTTAAGCCCACCCTGAAGTAAGCATTGTACCTTGTACTTTTGGCTATTTCTTTTGTGGTTAGATAGCGTCAAGTGGCTACCTAATATTGACCCTCGGATGAACCGTTTCCTGATACGCAGCCTGGCTAAGTTTCGCGGGCAAACAAAAACAAACCTCTTGCACAACCCTGGACCAAACTTTGGCCTTGTTTTGCCAATGTTATGAAACCGTTTATAAAAGTGGATCTTTATCTGTTATCTGAACAAAAATTGATCTCAACATTTAAGGGCAATAGTGGAAAAGACAATGAAGAGATTTCTGGAAAAAAATGATTCTGTGACTAGTAGTTTTTTGTTTTAATGTGGGTTGACCCAAAATTCCTGAAATTTTATAAAATTTACTACAAAAAAAATAACTATGGTTTGAGGGTTGATAGACGATATTAGTCCCCTGAGGTATTGGAAGTTGACAAATTAATTCCTGAGGCAAACCACGTTTCATTGGTTTTACTATAAATCATTCATATTCAACAAACCTTTGTTGAGTAAGGCATCAGATTTCTTGGAAAACGTTGTACGTGTGGCCCAATTTACATGTACATGTACATGTAAATGTACATGTACCAAGCTACAGTACATACTGATATAGGTATAGGGAGATGCCCATGCCTATGTACACTAGCCCAGTGTGCTGACATTTTCAGGAAAATTTTAATTTTGTATCAATTTCCAACGCTGGTCAGCCGACCAGCATTGGAAAGAAACTGGATTTTTTCAAATACTGCTCCAATTTCATCATATTTAGTTAGTCCGCGTTTTGGGTACAAAGCAGCTAGACTGATTTCCTGACCTAACAGTTTCCCGACGTCTATAAAGTGCTCAGTTTTATCTTAAGTGGAGTCAGGGAACCAGACTTCAAGAACATGATTGATTTTCTTGGTTTTTCCAGCATCTACGAACCCAAAACTTCAAACAAGTCAGTTTAACAATTTTTGCTATAAAATATGGTACTAAACCCCAATCCATCCATTTCTTAAAATTACAGCACAAGCAAATGCTGTATATTCCCTTTTACAGTCAGAGCGGTTACAAAAAATAAAGACTCAAGACCTTGACTTTTTTCCCATGACTCTTATTCTAACCCCTCCTCTATTCTCCTTTCCTAGAATTCAGTGCATAACCCTTACATACCGGTGACGAATGAGCACACTCATGGTGGCAGGATCTGTCTCGACTTAAGTGTCAATCGAAATTTCCTGCCGAAAGCTTGCGAAAAGGAAATTTACTGAAGAGTTCCCCCAAGATGGGTGGTCACTGTTTGAAGTCAACTCAAATTTACAAACCCTATCCTTTCTCCCTCAACACTTTACCTACACGTACTACACTTTAACAAAAAAATTTCCCCAAAAAAATACCCTGCGACTTTTTTTTCCGATTTAAAGTGAAGGTAATATACAACATTTGCAAACGTCAAAATACAAAACTACCAAATTTTTATGAAATACATGTACTTGTAAGTGAATAATAGTCTCAAACATCATGTGAAATCATGGCACTTGGTTTGCTGTCATTTTTAAGAAAAGTTGATTTTTTTTGTATAAATTTCCAATAACGGTCGGCCGACCACAGTTGGAAAAAACCCTGACTTTTTTTCAAATGCTGCCCCCAATTTAACAAATTTAGTTAATACACATTTTGTTTGCAATCGGTTACAAATCCGTAAACGGGTGCAAACCAGCTGGTCTGGTTCCCTGACCTGACAATTCCCTAACATCTATGAATTGCTCCACTTTGTCTAAAGTAGGGTCAGGGAACCAGACTACAAGAACAGCATTTTTTTTCTTGGTTTTCCCAGCATCTATGAACACAACATTTAGTGCAACAATATTTGCTATAAAATATTAACCCCAAATCCATCCATTTCTGAAAATTACAGCAAAAGCAAATGTTGTATATCTTTTACAATATTTTTTCATAGAAATTCCATGCAAGAATTTTTTTCTTTGATGTAATTACTTTGTTGATAATATGTTCAAAACAAGCTGAAATTATTATTTTTTTAAATACATTTCTACATGTATATGCCTCACGCTTGATCAACATGGAATAATCAAGGGCCAATGCATGCACTTTGCCAGTGGCAATCAACGAGGAAAAAATCATTTGACTCCAAATTCAGAAAGATGGAAAGAAGTGATATTCAGATGCGGCATTGACGTCATTCTGTGTTATTTTGTAAACAAATAAACACTTCTGATTTAATTTTCCCTCGGTGTGTGGGCAACAATAAAGCAGATCGGACAAACAAAAATTGTTTTTGCAATTTGTACAAGTTTGTGGCATAAACATGTTTGTGCATGCAATTTCTTTCATATATTAAGCACCGTCGATATATCAATATTACTAGATTATTTGATATTATTTTGATATTGATATCGCCAATAGCAAGTTTTCAATCATATCGAAATATCCACATTTTTGATATTGAGGAATGAAATCGAAAATATCAAAAAGGCATATCAAAATAAATCTCCTGTTTCTGCTTTTAATTTGTGTTTTATGTTTTGTGCTCTGCATTCGCTGGAATTCGCGGCCTCCCTAATGTAAAACAAAGAAACCACCCGTTCTGGACAAACTCTCAAAGCTGAGATTTGTTTTAAAAAGTTTGAGCAATATGCTCCAGAGAAAACCGTGAAAAAGTGCGACATGGTAAAAAAAAAAATTTAAATCAAAGTGTCATCTTTATGGTCTTTAATTTTTACATGGGATAATCGATATATCAAATATTCTCGATATTGGATTTCCGAGTATATCGATTATTGCAAATTCTGATATCGATGGTGCTTATCATTTTAATTCATGTAATTCTTTTTCATAAAAATATTTTATTGCAAAGGAAAATAGCATTGAAAAATAAGAAATATTGGTGTGGCCAAACCTGAAAATAAGAAAAATGTCACATTTTAGCCCAAAACCACCCCAATCATCAAGGATCCATACTATGTTCTGTGAGCACCAGTAATTTGAACGTAGGCCATTAAGTTTATGATGTGTTTTTAAGTAAAAAGTTATCATCCAAAAACTGCCTGTATGACTTGAAAAAAAGAAAAAAAACCCAAAAATTGTAGGCTTGAGGATTTTAAAAGATTAAATACTCCAGCGACGTTGCTGTCGCTACAAGCGTAGCATTTAAGCGGATTTAGGCACACCGCTTTCAAAAAGGACGAATTTGATTTTTTTTTAATATAAACAAATATAAAATTTAACTAAGTCTCAAAGATTTACCATCTTCTGTGGGCCTCATGGGATCGTACTCGTCCTTGCCCTGATCGTAGGAGAACATCACCTGGTTGTACGTACTGTCTGACGAGCGTAGCATTTAAGCGGATTTAGGCACACCGCTTTCAAAAAGGACGAATTTGATTTTTTTTTTATATAAACAAATATAAAATGTAACTAAGTCTCAAAGATTTACCATCTTCTGTGGGCCTCATGGGATCGTACTCGTCCTTGCCCTGATCGTAGGAGAACATCACCTGGTTGTACGTACTGTCTGACGAAGCGATGGCCAGGTTCAGCCGCTTTATCTCTTCCTCTGTGAAAAGACAGACAGGGTAGGAGAGAGAAAACAAACAGAGGAAAAAGACAGGAGCATTAATAACACACTCTCGCTTGAAATCGCAGACAAGGTCTAAGGGTTGAGGATTTGGAGGAAGGTCGGCCGTGGTGCCTTTGGATATGACGAAGAAGATTGATAGTTTGAAGGTGATGGGGGATTTCTGGAGCAAGTGGGGCCAATATTCTGGCTGAATTAATCATTGAATGGGGCCCGATCAGCCGATCTACAGATGAAATACAGGGTGGATAAAAAAAAGCAAAACCAAGATGTTATTGCTAATTGGAACAGAAGTAGGGCACATGTGAATCAAAGGGAGATATCCTCTGTTTGGGTTGAATCTCCTCTTTAAAATGACACCCTGATCATGTCATTACATTCATGGTTGACTGAGCAGTGACCAATTTTATGAAAGGGTCTATTTGGAGAATTGCGCCACTTTTCAATTGTGGTTTTTGTGGTGTCATTTGTCAAAGAGTGAAAGGCTATGGTTGCCAATCAAGGCAGGTGGGGGGGGGGGGAAGAGATTTCACCATTAAAAGTGGCGCAATTCTCTAAATAGACCCTTTCAAAAAATTGGTCACTGCTCAGTCAACCGTGAATGTAAGGACATGATCAGGGTGTCATTTTAAAAGAGGAGATTCAACCCTAACAGAGGATATCTCCCTTCGATTCACATGTGCCCTACTTCTGTTCCAATAAGCAATAATATCTCGGTTTCGCTTTAAATATCTACCCTGTAGAGGAATCAAGCCTGGCAAACAAGATAATGTGGATGGATTTCTCTGGCTTTTGCGTATGGTAGGGATCAGGTCTATGGTGATGCCACTTGCAAAGCAAGTGTTATATCTGTAAGGTGTAACTTTCAATGTGGCCCCTACAAAAACTGAAATAAAATTTTGAACTGGCGTTCATATCAGGAAAATACATTTTGATCAATTCAAGCACCTGTGACGCCAACGCAGACTGGGACCGTGAGTGCATAAAAACGTGCAAAATTACTACTGACGTTTTTTTACTCACCATTAGGCTAATTAATGCCCACACAACACATACATCAAAATGATAAAGTTGCAAGCATGTCATCTGCGAAATTTGAGACCTTAAATCCAATTTTAAGGCAAGTTTTTGGCAGTTCAAAAACCATCCACGTCAATCTCCATGCTCTGGAAATGGGTGTGTGATTCTCAATGTATTCTGGGTAGGTGTAGGAAGTGCCCTGCAGCTTACTTGTTTTTTAATTGATAGCCAAATGAACACAGCGCCCTCTGTTAAAAAATGAAACATTCTACATTCACTCAGATCAACAAGAGGGCGCTGCTTTATCTACAAGATGAAAATGTTCTAGCTAGGGAGTTTTTTTGCACAATGCATTGCAGTACACATCAACGTGATGTCTCACGTTTGGATTTCGATAACTCTCTGCAAAATTAGAATTAAAAGCTGAATATTTGGTGATGCAATGCTCACAACAGCAACTTTGTGAGGCAGAAGTTTCGGGGATTATTGAGGAAACTGTCGTGAGTAAGAAGCTTGCAAATTTGATTCACACTGGTTTTATTATGCAGCACAAACTTTTGCACGATATGGATACCTTAAGTTTTGGGACTCTCATACAAAGTATTGAGAGTCCCAAATTTTCGGACTAACGCCAACGCAGCAGGGAACTTTACCAGACAACCTCTGTCGACAGTTTGTTTGTCTACAGATGTCTAACTGTCTGTGCAACCTTCAAAGCACCTTCCAGATAACACAAACTGAAATCGAGGCAAACACGCCATACCCCCCCCCCCCCCCCCCGAGGCTGTAATATTTCTTTCTAAAATTTATAATGCAGCAAACTCCGAGACCATAGTGGTCCTTACAGCTAGGGGGTACATGTATCTTGAATTTTAATCAACATACTCATGAGGTTGTTTGGGGGTCAGTCTGTGAAGTAGTCTCGGCCTTAGGGCAAAAAAAAAATCATCATCTACTCTACACTTTTGCCTTCCAATCCTCCCCAAAAAATTAATGTGCAAGAGAGACTCAAGTGCCAAGGAAGACCGACTTTGACCCTAACCCCCTAGGCCCTTTTGGCCAGGAACAATCCTCAATCCTGCAAAATATTCCAATTGCCACCATGTTAAAATTGGATTCAGCCTCAATACTCCAAAATCATCCGTTATTTCTTGAATTTGTTCAGCGGAGGGGTGACCATTGCCTCAATCCTTCGAAATCCCCTAATAACCACTGTTAATGGGTTAATGCCGATGACATTCAGAAGCAGTGCGGATGATATCGAGCAAATTGCAGGGCTCAATTTTGCATGGCTGGACATAAACAATGCAGGACACAGCCTACAATGTACTAACGCGGCACAATGCATCCTCCAAAATCAACTGACACTCTTTTGCCATTCAGCCTCAATTATTCAAAATCCTCAAAATTGCCAGGAGGATTTTGGAGGATTGAGGAGGGTTAGGGTTAACCCTAACTCCCTAGGCCTTTTTGCTAGGATGAAGCCTCAATCCTGCAAAAGCCTCCATTTGGCCTCATGGAAAAATAGCATATACCGGTAGCCTCAATCCTGCAAATTCCTGTTATTTCTTGAATATGGTCCATGGAGGGATGACCACTGCCTGAATCCTGCAAAATCCTCCGGCTATGTCTGTCAATAGGCTGAGGCAGAGGCAGTGACATCCTGGAGCAGTGCGGAGGATTTCAATTATAATCAAGGACTAAATTCATGCACGTCTGAGCATAAACAACACAAGGTCCGGACCAAGACCTTGACACAGTGCGTCCTCCGAAATCAGCAACGCACTTTGGCCATGTAACCTCAATCCTGCAAATTCCTCCAATTTGCAAAAAGGATTTTGGAGGATTTGGGATGGTAAGGGTTAAAGTCTGGTTTAATTTGCTGCATAAATTAACCTCAAAAAGCAAGTTTCTGTTTTCTTCAGATAGGGGGATGGGGCTGGAAAGAATTCAGGAAGGAATAGGTTAGTGTATGTTTTATGCGCAGAAAACTTGATATAGGCTGTGTGTTTTCCCCCCTCATTTCAAATAAGTAAAAAAGTTATTACTCCACTAAGGAGCCCACAATTTGACTGACTTTCACAGTATCTTAACAGAATTATCCCAATGACAATTTAAACTGAATCTTCCCAAAGGAGTTTTATTCAAACAGAGGAAAATTGTACAACACATGTACACATAAATGCAGGCCACAAATCAATTGAATGAAATATAATTTGTTTTCCTCTTATACATGTACTTAAAAATAAACTGAAATCTGGTTAATTTGATAATCTGTCAAGATGCCCAGTGAATACGTGTATTGAAGACTAGGTTCAGCTGCGGTCGGTCGCTAATGACGAGGGAATGCCCGGGGGTAAAGAAACTGCAGAAGAAGAAGAAGAAAATCTTGGCATGGGTCTTCACTAGATTAATCAGCTTCCTCTCCTCGTTTTCAATCTTTCTTCTTTTTTTCCCCTTTCTTTTTTCCCCGGCTATTTTTCTGTTACGGAATGAACCGCCGGACAATTCTAGGAGCTCATTGATCTGTTTTGCTCATCTGGCATTCCGTATCAATTCCAACAGGGTGCAGGCGTGATGATCGCGTCTATTTGGCTGACAAGGGCGAGAGACTGGATGAGGGATACTTACCAATTGGCAAAACGAAGGTTGTGACGGGAAATTAGGAACTGATTGTGTGCATATACAAATTCACACAGCTGTTTTAACAATATAAACAGCACAACTACTCCCTGAGAAGTACATGTAATGCAATTATAAGCGCATAAAAAACGGAGTAAATTTCACTAGCAGATTTACTTAAATAGCGTTGGAATTACACGTACATGTACAACTGTACGCAAACACTGACAAGCCTGCTCAGTGCAGCAAGATACATTGTACATAATGTTTAGGCCTAAATAGTTTTACTTCTGACTTTAAGAAAACTTCTAACCTTTAGAAAGCAACCTTCTCTGGACTGACTTTTAAAAAAAATTGAGAATTTCTTATAATTGAACATGTGCTGTTTTATTTTGCTTTCTGTATTCAGGAAATATCCCTACCGGCACGTGTGCATGATGTAGATTCATAGTATGAGAAGTATGGGGGCCACGGGGGCCATTGCCCTCCTCCCACCACTTCATCCACTGGAGGGGGAATCTCTCCCCCCCCCCCCCCCCCCCCCCCACTCTTGGCAGTTCCCGACATAGTCTACTCTGGGCCCTATATCTGGAAGAACATAAAACAAACGTTTTCTACTTTAATGTCTCTGGAAATGACAGGATCAAATGTTCGCTTTCAATCATTGGGAAGGCCTACAAACACTGCAGTTGCCATAAATGTACTTGTACATGTAGGTGGGGGGCGCCCCAAGGGTGTAACATACACCAAAAACAAAAACATAGCCCCCTATCGATGAATGAGGTCCATCAAACCCCCCCCCCCCCCTTGTGTACTGAAAATAAAAATATTTAACATCCATAACGGTTGTTTACTTAGCTCATTTATATCTCATTAATTAATTCAGCTCACACTACGGTACATTAACAATGGCATGTTGTACATTAAGGCCCAAGCTAGAGTTGTACCAAATATATAAAATTTGCTTTTACTGAAAGTATTTTATTTTGTTGTTTCAATTGATGTTTAGCTCTGAATGTAATGTGTAAATACATGTAGAAGTAATTTCTTTCTTGGTAAATTTCTCAATGGTTACCCACAAAAAGTAACATAAGTAAATATGCATAATAATGCATTTGGTTGGTAGTCTGCTTACAGGGAGCTCAAATTAGCTTACATCGTCACATCTGACAATTTCAGGTCCCCGGTCCCCGTCACTACCCCAGACAGACGGAAATGTCAAACAGACGGGTGACCGGTGAACCAAGCAGAGGAAGCTTTCAACACACCAACAGAAGCAGGCCACGGGCCATTCCTCAAACCCTGGACTGCTCTCCAGCTTTGGCATCAATCCTGACCCTGGAACCATCTTGAATGCCTTTGCTGTCTTAGCTATAAAACTTCATACATGTACTTTGGCCTAGTCTGGTTCCCAGACCAAAAGATTCTGACTATTCTGACAAATCGTAGGTCAGGTAATTGCCCCGGCTAAACTACATTGTGTAATCAGGACCAAAAAGAGACTCTGCCTATTTCGGAAAATGTCTGATCTTTACCAAATATACCTCGTTAACACTGGGATTTGTTCGCAATAGCTTGGGAATTTCTGGGCGTAAAATATGATTTATTTACCAAATAAAAAAACACACCTGTCATGCTTGTCATCAGTTTTGAAAAGTGTGAGTTTATAAATTCATTGCTTACACTAAAAAATTCCAATGTCAGGTGTACCATATTATCAAGCTTCTGTATTAAATGTCCAATGTGGACGTTGTGCCTCAAGTACGCACTCGTACGATGGCAGACCCACTACATGTTCCAAGTCTCAGGCATCTGTTTTCCTCAATTTGTGCAAGTCAGCCCAATTTCCACATGCCACCGTCTTGAATTTTGGCCGCTTACACTGTCACGAGACAGGATTTTGATTGACCTTGGTATCTCTGCGATGGGACGGGCTGTGTCGCTTCATATTACCATGACGTGACCAAAGAATTGTCAGAATAGTCGTTATCTATTGCTCTGGGAACTGTGGCTTTGAAACTTGATGTTCCATTGTCCTGTGCAGGACAATAAGCCCAATGTCAGGGAGGGGGGACATGGAGGGGGGGGACATGAACCTGGAGCCTGAAGGCGAGGCTGGAAACAAAGCCTAGATTTGAGGAATGGCACTGGAGTCATCTGTGGCAGAAGCCTCTACGTGAACTCGTCAGTGAACTATTCATGGTGCATGTGTGTCTATTACAGTGTGACCTGGGAAGGCCAGGGTTTAGCTGCCTCGTCTGACGATAATATACAATGTAAAGTGCAGTGTCCACTGCATATCACTTTCATAACTTACATGGAGTTGGAGTATTTTTATCAGGAAATTTGGCCAGACTTTACACAAACAAATGTATTCCTGCTTTGGTGGACAAAAGAAAGACGGAACAAGAGTGTGAAATCGATTCTGTTTGGGAAACAGCAATCATACTTGTACGTGTACACACATACTGAAATTTATATCACTGTGGAGACATTTCTTTGTTCTCGTGTAGTAAAGTTTTCGAGTTTGAAAGTGAAGTTTCAAAATGCTCTTATTTTAACCAGAATTAATTTCCTTGTCTGAAATTCGGACTTAATATCCCTTTTCTAAAACTCTTCCATTTGCGACGGATCAACCCACCTTGGAAATTCCTAGTTTTTGAGTAAAATCCATATATCTATTTCGTGAAAACCTTGTGGAGACGTATTCATCTATAAAAATTGCCATGTGGAGACGTTTACAATCTTTTGTTCCCTATTGTACACACGTCTCCAGAGGGCACGGTGTATCAGATCATATACACTTGTACATTGTACATGATGTATGGACAAGACAATGCATAGTGTACAAAAAAGTAGATATTTTGGACTGTAAAATTGAAACCTGTGGAAGAATATGACAAAAAAAATTTCAAGCCATATTTTCAGTTCACATCCCAATCATTACCCATGTTCTTGTTGTGAGCGTTAAAACAATTGTGACCTATTTAGGTCAATAGTGTGCAAACCCTTCCCTTTTCGTTTTATTAAAACTTTTGAAATAGAATTACTCGGTCTTGTACGGTACATCATGTGAATGAATGATCTTGTGCAATATATACAAAAATGTTAACCAAAAACTGGTGCTCCACGTATTTAGCCAACAAAATTAGAAGTCATATTTGAGGTGAAACCACGTTCAAGTGCACGCTGCACGCATTCTTAAAAGACGAGACACGCAGATTTTGGTCCAAGGAGCACAAAGTGCGTGTACTAAGCACGAGCCTGGTTCCGCCTCGAAAGTGGCTTCTAATTTTGTTCACCGATTCAGTCTATCACCATAAAAACCTGAGGTCAAGTTTCTAAATTCTGTAAATGTCCATTATACAATAATAAGAATTCTGATAGCAAAGTCTGTAAATACCAGCCAGTTATTTTTATTTCCTAAATGCTTTGATGCATAGCCCTTCTTTGTGAGTGTAAGAAAAGCTCAACAAGAGGGCCGAGTTACCCCCTGGAAATTTCTGACCCAACCTGGAAAAAACCCACAATCTGTGTGTGGGCCATGAGGGGTATTGGGTACGACTGTACATATACAATGTACATGTACACGTACCAGTGATTTGGGTTTTCCCCAGAAATCTTCATGTTCGTGGAAAAGCAAACAAACACATAAGCAAACAAATCTTTACACCCCAAAAACATGTCCTGTTGAATAGATTTGCATTTTTCTTCTCAAGCGCTTAGCCTCTGACAGTACCCATTGCTGGCACAAATGCCAAGTTGAACTTCGCAGCAAAAACAAAACTTTGAGAATTTTTTTTTTAAAGCTATACTCCTTCATTTGCAGCAATCCGAAAAGTAGCTGGCGTACCGGTACTTATTGTTGAAAAACATACTTGGTTGAAAGATAGTAAGGGGAATAAACTCCCTGTGAAATTATTCTTTCTGGCAAGCTGTCATTTTGAAGTAATCAACGAAAGAAGGCATTTCCAACGATGCGTCTTAAGAAGCACCGTAGGAAAATTTAAATTAGTAGTGCATTTTGTTATTTGGCGCAGCGCGCACAAGCATTGGAATGACGCACAGGCGCGTGCGGTTGCTATAATTCGTCGGATCAGTGCGCGACATCGCGTAAAGCTGCAATTCAAAACAATTCGAAACATGATTTAGCAACTTTTGATTTGAAATTGAGATCCTAGAATGCTGTTTTTCTCGGAATATAAAGCTGAAGCTGAGCAGAAACTTCATCAAGTAAGTTGTTCAGTATCCTTCATTAGATTTTGAACACTTTTGTTGCTTCAAACGAACAAAATGCACTAATTACAAATGATGGACTATAGCTTGCACCAAAAATACATTAGATGATGAAAACGCAATTTAAACTGTTCCGTGCTGAACATCAATCAATACCCTTCCACTCTCAGACTGTCTGCTTCACAGCACAATGGCCAACCTCGGAAGTTGACACAAGAGCAAAGTTAAAAAAAAAAAAATTCAACAGCTTCCAATGCAGCAAAACGTCAATTTTCTTCTTATTTTCAACATGCTCCCACCAAAAAATTAAACGATGACGATGCATTCAAACTGTTCCGTGCTGAACATCAATCCATAACCTGCCCCTGTGTCTCCACAGCACAATGGCACACCCGTTGTTGACAGTTTGCACAAAGTAAAAAATCCATGGGTCAGGCGCCCCGGAGTGGCCTAAATGCATTGTTCCCTAAAGCCGTCCCTGGGATCGCGGGGAAATTTCAATGTTCAGTTTCCACCTGAACTGAAACAGGTTTTGTGGGTGCAACTTAACCCCTGAACTTTGCCAGCTTTCAGTGATTGGAATCTGTATTTTTTCTTTCGGGGGAAAGCTTTTAATCAAAATATTTTTTGGGTGTTGAGTTTTGACCTTTCTTTGTGGGAGCATGAAATAGAATACATACAGAGCATGATTTCTATAAAAGAATTTTTTTGACCCCCCCCCCCAAAAAAATAATAATAATAATGGAAACAGGAGTTGTCAAATGTTAAGTGCTATGCAGTGAATATGGCATTCATTGTGAGAATTGTGAGTAGACAGAGTGAACTATAACAGTGTTTGCGTAATTAAGAGAGAAACGAATCATTGTACAAAGAAAGACTTTTTAAAGAAAGTAAACATTTTTAAAAAAATGATTGTATTGTACACAGGAAGCAGATTTTATATCAAGGAAAATTAGTTCCAGGAAAAAAAAATGGGAAGTTTGTTGAAGATTAAATCTTCTCAATAAAACCTTTTCCTATAGAAATTGGGAAAGAATGTAGTATCCAGACGCCACTTCGTTGGTTGTGTACAAAGTCTTTAGCAAGTTTCATACATTTTAAAAGCATTTTCTAACAAAATTGGTAATGTTTCTCAGTCCCAGATTCATGTCTTTTCCACATTTTTGTGTTAACTGACCTTCATTGAGATAATATGTGGTGAAAAAAGTGGTGTCAGGATACCACATTCTGTCCAGAAATTGTAGCATATTATAAGAAAACAGTTAAAAGATTTTCGAAGAGAATAACAGATAGAATCTGGAGAAAAGGAATATTTTGTATGAATGTACCGGTATGTTCATGTGCATTATTAAACAGTTTTGTTCCAAATATTTCTCTGTAAAAAATGGTACGTACCGTACAAAAACAACATATTTGCACCCAAAAAATCTTTGTCTTAAGTCAAATATTTCTGGATAGAATGAGAAAGTGGAGTGTCATGGCCTAGCGATTAAGAGCACCGGGCTCATGCTCTGGTGTTACAGCGGCAACAGTGGCGTGGGTTCGAGCCCGGGCCCGGACACTTGTGCCCTTAAGCAAGGCACTCAACCATTATTGCTTCGTCCTTCGGATGGGACGTTAAGCCGGAGGTCCCGTGTGTTGTACAAGGCCTAACGCACGTAAAAGAACCCAGTAACACTTATCGCTAAGAGAAGGAGTTTGCCCCGGTGTTTCTGGCCTCCTAGTTATACTCCCTTGTTGAAGTCCTTAGGAGAAGAACCAACCAAGTACAACAAAACCACCTTCGCACAAAAAAACAAGTTTCACAATTTTCTCCTACCGTACCTTGTCTGAGTTCTTCCTCCATCATGTCTTTATGCAGCGCCATGTATCTCTCCTCGTCACACAAGGCCTCGATTCTCTCCTCTTCGCCAGAGATTTCCTGGCGCCGACTGCCCAGCCACGAGTCCTCGTACTCCGAAAGACTTGGTAGATGGCCCCGCCCATCATAACTAAGAAAACAATTGAGAAAAAGGGTATAATCTTATGTTTATAATAAATATGCCTCAATTTCTGAGATGTCAGGTCACCATCTCGGACTTTCATGAAACTTTTTTTACCTCTGTGGTTCTAATGAACATGTGTAAGTTTAGCTCCAAGTCCAAGTCCTTGGCCAGATATACCGTAATTGCCTGACTTATATCTCGAAAATGCGGCGAGGCAGTGTCGTAGCAAAGGGGCCCAAGGGGGCAAGTGCCCAGCCCCCCCCCCCCCCCCATTAGAAAACTTGAAATTTGCTGCTTGTCAAGGAAGTGTCTTTTTAAAGTATTTTTTGAGTAATTAAAAAGAGGAATAGTAGGTGAAGTTTTTTTAACCGATTCGAATCCCCTTAGTTGCCTTAACCCTAAGCCTTCATTGAAATGTGAATACATTTATAAGAAAAAAGAGCGCCCTCTATCGTCCAGAGGTCGAACACAATGTTACAATTCACAATGTTTATGAGTAATACGTCCCACGATATTGTACAATTCCCAAAAATGTCTGAAGTACTGACATGTACAATCATCAAGACGAAGTCCTCAAAAGTTAGCTTCTTAGCCCCCCCTCCTTTAGCCCCCCCCCCCCCCCCCCCCCACTTTTGTTTAATTTCCAGTTCAGTTAGAGTCTGGAAGCTACAGGTGTTTGCCATATCATACTTCTTTTGAAACACCTGGACATACATGTACATGTACATGTGGATGTGCGTAGGTTCTATGGTTACACTGATTCAGGATCACAAGGTTAACGACAACCTGATTTAAGCACTACCACACTATCCAGCCCAGGTTCAACGACCTCAAAACTTTGCGACACCCAAGATTTTTCTACACCTACCGTACATGTACGTAAAGATAATATCGATGTACATGATACTGTGTCTTTGTGTATCCACACCCTTGGGCTAGGGAGTTAACGTCAACAACAGGAGATGTCTCATAAATGCTCTCAACTAGTCATGATCACGCTGGATGCCTGACAAATGACCCGAGTAGATTTTAATGTCATCCCTGTTTCCTCCAGATCATGTTTGTTTTGTAACCCTATCCTGCTATCCAACGCATCAGACTTGCTAGAGATATCAAACTGTATAATAATATTGCTTTCCAACTAGTGTTACATACATTGCAATGTTGAATTCTGAGTATCCAACATTAGCAACAGGCACACCCCTAAAATTTAGATTATAATAACTTTCTGGAAAGTAACCAATTTCTGACACCATTCTAGTCTAGGGGGCAAGACATTGTTTTGGTTTGATACGCGATAATCCGCCGCTGCGATAGCCTGCCACCACGAGAGGGCGTTATCACGACCAACCAATATCACCTAGGAACCCGTCAGGAACAACATCTAGGGAAATTTGTATCGGTTGTGTTATGCGCGCACACCTGTTTGGCCTAACACATGTACAATATGCAGCGCGCATTCAAAACATTTTATTGTACATGTAGTTCCGAACCAAACTCTTAAATTTCTTCCAGTAGTATACATTTGTAAAAGATGCAGAGTCAGTTTTGTGCAACTTCACGGGTTAGCTCTTTTGAGGGGTATCTAGTGCGTGGGACTGAAAATGGACCGTAATTGCTTGCAGAAGTGGTGCATGCGCACTAGTTTCCCCCATTTTTCGGGGGGAGATTTTACGAATTTCCCTAGATGTTCCTGAGGGGTTCGTGGGTGATATTGGTCTGTCGAGATAATGGCGGCAGCGGGTTATCGCGTATCAAACCATAACAATGTCTAGCCCCTAGACTAACACCATTCTTTCGAATGTTAAAGGGGATATACATGTACATGTATATACATACATGTACATCATTTGCTTTTGCTGTAATTTTCAGAAATGGATGGATTTGGGGTGTTGGTAACACTAACAGTATATAGCAAATATTGTTACACTTACTTTTTTGACGTTTTGGGTGCGTAGATGCTATAAAGACCAAGAAAAACAATCCTTTTCCTGTAAGTCTGGTTCCCTGACTCCATTTAAGATGAAACGGAGCAATTTATAAACATTGGGGAATTGTAAGGTCAGGGAACCAGTCTAGCTTGCTTGTACCCGTTCATAGGTGTATAATAAATTGTAAACAAATGCGGACTAACTAAAATAGGGCCAGTATTTGAATAAAAAAGTCAGTTCTTTCCAACGCTGGTCAGCCGACCAGCGTTGGAAATTGATACACAATACTACTTTTCTTGAAAATGACAGTATACCAGGTGCCATGATTTTACAGGATGCTTTAGACTGTCATTCACCAACAGTCCAGCAAGGTATTTCAACATAATTTGGTAGTTTTATTTTTTGATGTTTGCAAATGTTGTATTTTCCCTTTAATGTTGAATTCTTTCTAATGTTAATCTAAATGAAGACTGTTGAGAGATGAAATTGACAAAGAGCAGTTTCCTTCGATCCTCATAGTGCAATGCAGGGCAACTTTAACTTTGTACATACATGTATTTCACTCATAAAAAAAATATTTCATTCATCAAAATAAATTGTGCTCTTGATAAAATGTACAATATAAAGCATGCAGTTGGTTTGCCAGAATTTTTTTTAAACAAAGTTGTTCACTGATCATCAACTCATTCAAAAGTGCGGAATCACATTTAACCCAACCCGGTATTACCCCCTAGTACATGTAGTCCCTCAGGACTACCCTGCTAAATCCAACAGAGTCCAACCGGACTTTCCTGTTCAATCCACTGTGCCTTATTTTCAGTTGTCTGCTGAATCCAACAGAGTCCAACATGGCGTTATGATGAGGTTCAGTTGCCTGCTGAATCCAACATTTGGCATCAGGAAAGTACACACAAGGGGTTTACTGCTCAATCCAACAGGCTCCATCGGGTATACATCCTGTTGGATTAAGCAGGATTAGGCCAAAAAAAAAAATAAGTCGGTCTCTGGTCAGCGCGCGCGTCGATTTTAATCATGCGCGTCAATCTTTTTTTTTTCCAAAATGTTCCGCGGTAGCTCCAACAGCGCCCTCTATTTCCGCACCTCCTCAATTTTTTTTTACCAAAGAGCACCAAGGAATGGGAAATTGCACCAAGGCAAATGATCGAAAGCACCAAGGCAAATTATGGAGGACACCAATGTACATGAGGACACCAAAAAAGCAAAATAGTACCCACCTTGTCTGTACAATCCAAGCTTGAAGAAAAAAAAAAAAAGCAAACAAAAAAAAAAAGCCGCGTGGCCGCGTCAATTCCGGAACTTTGGTCTGACCAGAGACCGAATATTTTTTTTTTTTTGGCCTTAGGGTTAATTAATATACATGTAGTTACTGGTGCCCAGATTTAATACATGTAGGTTTAATTGCTACTGCCAAGAATAGTTAATGTAAAATTTATTAATTACTTCGAAATTATTGTTAGTGATTTATGGCAGTTACCCGGTAACAGGGGAATATTCAGAGTCTTTTTATACACAACTTGTGGTGTGTGTTTTTTTTTGGGGGGGGGGGAGGGGGTTGATTCCCCCCCCCCCCCTTATTCTAAGAAATGTTAGCATGTGGTTTTGATTTCTTTTAAATATTGACAAAATAAGAATAAGGCTCAAGAGTTAGTTACAGATTAATTATGCAGAATAATTAAGCTCTCTAATTTCTACTTAATAATCTCTCCTCCTTCAAGCACAATAGCCAGGGGATTCCAGAACAACGATTCATGTACACTTCTCCTTATCAAGTACACGTTCCATGAACATACTGTAGGCGTACATAGTACAGAAAAAAGGACAAATTTAACAGAAAAAGCAGCGTGCTGCTAGTGCTTCAGGGAGCAGTTTGGACTGGTTCAGACTAGTTCTGTGCTGAATCACCGTGTGTGCGTCGTATTACTATAGGAAACCGCTATTATTACACCGGTGCTCCGCATGAAAACAGTGACCCTTTGTGACAGTCCTCTTTTATTTTTAAGTACGGGTTATCTCCCTTGACAGCAAAACAGGGGTTGAAAAGTCTGTTTGTGTAGAGGGGATTCACCTTAAAAGTGAGATCACATTTCCTTGAACTCTGTAAACGGCTGTATCAAATGTTGAATAAGCAGAATCTGGTTTTGTTATGCCATTCATGAAAACTATCAACTGACAAAGAAAAACTTGGTGGGGCTACTGATGTTTCCACATGCTATCGGAACATGTACAATATGTACCGGTATGTTTCACTATTGGTATTTAAAGATAATATACAACATTTACAAACATCAAAAAGCAAAACTCCCAAATTATTATGAAATACCTTACTTGACTGTAAGTGAATAATAGTCTCAAGCATACTGTGAAATCATGGCACCTGGTGTGCTGTCATTTTCAAGAAAAGTGACATTTTTGTATCAATTTCCAACAATGGTCGGCCGACCATCGTTGGAAAAAACCTGACTGTTTTCAAATACTGAACGCAATTTACCAAATTTATTAAGTCCACATTTTGTTTGCAATCTGTTACACATCCGTGAACGGGTGCAAGCCAGCTAGTCTGGTCAGGGAGCCCGACTACCAGAACAGCATTTTTTTTTCTTGGTCTTTTCATCATCCATGAACACAAAACCTCAAACAGGTCAGTGTAACAATATTTGGTATAAAATACTAACCCCCAAATCAATCCATTTCTGATAATTACAGCAAAAGCACATATGTTACCTTTAAAGCAAAGGTTCATCTATATTATGTAAATACTTTGTCACATTTTCCGTTACCTAATTTTCAAACTTGAATATCAAGCCGAAGAAAATAATCCAGTTGGCCAAATTAGCATGGCAATTTTGATGAGCTCTTCAGCGCCACTGGGCGCTTAAAACTGCAATGCAGCGCATTTGATGGAACACGGTCTAAATGACAGTCCAAGGTTATCTTGTGCATGTATACATACACATACTGTATCATTGTGTATTCATGAACCGTGCGTCACCTAGAAATTCGTCGGCCGGGGAGAAGAAATTAACGCGTGACCGCCGCCCAAATTTCGGTTCACCG